GCTTTAGAACTGTGCCATTGTACTTTTGCCGAGGCAAAGCCATTAGCCGTCTCTCAGTCTTAGTGTATGCCGAGCATTCACATTTATATTTTGACTAGAGACTGCGTCTTCTTCCACATTTTGAGGCTTTTATAACAAAACATAACAAATAGCCTAATACCAGCTCCCTTTTGATAACAATACCTCAATCCATAACAAGTGGATCGTCACAAAACGTCATATAGTGGATGACATTGGTGCAAAGGTGAAAAAAGTTGTACGGCTCAAGGGGATCTAGGATCGTAACCTGAGAGGCATTTATTATTTCCACTAGTCGTACTGTGCAAATGAAGAGGCACAGGAAGCGCAAGTGTTACGTAACTGCACTTTCGACTACTCAAGTACTCGGGTCTCCGCAGGTTGTACTCACGCTTTGCTTCATGACTTTCAGGTCATCCTGGCAGCCTCAGCTCTGTCCAGCATGCTACTGGGGCTTCCTACGACTTGAAGGACAAATCAGGCAGCTACATCAAAATCCATGGAATTCATTTAAAACTCCCAAATCTGTCTTGGATATGCTAAAACAGTCGAACATACAAATGCTCTAAAAATAATTGTTTTATATAAGTGTAGCTGAACAATTTAACTTGCGTTTCATGCTTATTGTAAAGGTTTATATGAACTGCTTAGGGTTTGTAGGAGGAAAACTCAATTTGTAATACCTCACATGTAAACATGAAGGTAAATTAAACCAAGTTTACGTAAAAGCCTCCATACATTTTGCCTTACCGGACTTTAGTTTGGAACAAAGAAAGCTGCGCAAAAAAGAGAGCCTTGGGACAATTCAACGACCGGCTTTTAACCACAGCATTAACCTGTCGGGAAAATGAATGTTGCTGCACTTAAAAATCTGACTAACAGGACCGGACTAGACATGTATCGCGAGAAAAAGTCGAGATTCCACCTGAACTTTACCGCCTTCTTGTCTGAAGTCCCAAATGTGCAATATACGGCGAGTTTTACTGCACAAAACGGCGCTGACAATCAGGCAGGCAAACGAATTCGAGTGGAAGAAAAAAGCAAAAATTGCCCCAAGTCTCAAAATACTGCTGAATTTGGAAAAGCTTCTTCGACAGGATCCCAGGATGCAAACCCCTGACAGACGACGTCGAACAGCGGGGAAGAGTTCTCGTATCTTAGCTAAAAATATGGCACAGATACCAACAGAAGCGATGACCTCCAAAGGCATGAAATGAAATAATTGGCATCTACATCTGAAATGGGCTGCTACGACAGCGCATTATAATATGAAACATATTTTAAATGAGGAAGCTAAGTATGTGTGTTTTTAAGAGAAATAATGCAACTTATGTGGGCATAAAGCCAGACACATCGCGAAAGCATAGGCGAGCAGATGCCTTCACAATGCTCGTCGTTTCCTCGAAAGGAAGGCATTAGCTTCAAAACTATGCGCCTTCACTATGCTTCTGATTGCAGACTACTGAGTTTCAATTAAATTTATTCCAGCGGAATAATGATCAAATGCACGAGGAGAGGTCCAGCGAGCCAGTGATTGCTCCACTCCTTCACCCAAATTCCTTTGACAGCGTACCTTCCATAGGCACAAATATCTCTTTAACTGGCTACAAATGTGCAGAAATAAAGCACATGAAGCAAAGCTGCATTTAGAAAATCGAGCACATTTGGTACCAAGGCTCCTGGAAAGCAACTTGGTAGACCTCAAAGCAACAAGACTTTAATTTATTTCCTTAATCTTAGGCTAGACATCGAATGGTGTTGCACGAGGAGAGGGCACAAAGCAGGAGAAGAAGGGCTTTTCCCTTTGAGAGGGGAAGGTGGCATCTATTAGTCGAGTCGTAAATTGCCAACAACAAGAAGTTGTACGATTGTTGCGTCGAGAATCTGATGCACTAGAAAGAAGTACTTTTATTTAGATTATAAATGTAGGAGTTAGGTTTGCATTTCCGACACATTCGTTTATCACAGTTGTGCTAATGCTGAGAGGTGGTTACACAGCACTTCCTTATTTTCCGAAAATACGATTAAAAACTGCTGAAAATGCGCAACAAATGAAATCATAGTGGTAATTAACACTGAGGATTGATAACTATTAAGGGCTATAGTAGGTAGCACGATTGCTCGCAGTAGGAAATCAGAGGAACAATGACATAAGCTACAGAACCAAATGGTATTTAACAAAAGCGGACTCACTTCAAAGGCCGGCCTTGATTGAAAAGGGCATTTATGTGTTATATCAAAGCAGGGTAACATAAGTAAAGCTTCATTCTTTTCTTTCTTAGTACAAGTTGCGAATTAAAAATTTTTTTTTTGGTAAAGATATATTTGCATAGGTATTGTGGTATGGAAAGGCGATTTGGTTTAACCTAAATGCATGCAACTATGCAGAACATTTGAAGAAGGTCATGGAGTTCTTGGTGTCTGGGGACTTCCAATGCAAATGACAAACATACGGTGGGTTGACAATCGGCTTGATACGTTGCATGATTGTGCTTAACTTCGTAGGCTCCCAAATGTTCGCGGCTCGCTGTTCGCTCTTTAGTCGGATATTCTGACCTGATAACGACCCAATAACTCTTGTTTATTGTGGCTTATCAAGACTTATTCAAGAATAGGAGGATGCATGGTGCAATATATTGTTCGACTGCCTCTGTGAGGAGTGTCCACTTTGGTGACCACATTTCTTCCACTGATTGGGACAGCCTTTGCATCATGTCAAAGCCTCACTTCTTTCCTTTCTCGATGAATGCATGCATTCATTCAAGTCTTATGCCTTTACCAACATGTGGGAAGCATTGGGAATAATTGTTTTGATCGAATATTTTCACCAGGTTGCATGATCGGCGGTCAATTTGGTTTTAAATATGCTTCTGGTTGGATGGGCTAACCTTCCAGCCAAGCCAGTTTTTCACATCTTCTCTCTAAGTGGAAGCGCTCAACCATGCCCAATATCCCCTTCTAGCAAATAGAACACCTGAAACTTCACGCTCGGCAGTATAAGGCATTGGGCATACTCATACTTTTGGACAAAAGGCGGGACTAGGTCATGACCTGGCGCGAAGGTCACTCCGCTGGACCAAAAGCAAAATGGCCTCCAAAGGGGACCGACTCTGAAACACATAAAGCATATTATTTGTCTCCATCATATGTATTTAGTCATGTTTTTTTCACGTTACAATTTTTTGAGAACACCATCATAAGTGCACTTTGATAGCACACCTTCCAAAACTGCTCCTTTGAAGACACTAAAGTGGATTCTAAACTAATGAAAACCCCACGCAGTATAATAACATCCAGTAAGATGATGTAATAAGATGCTGTAGAGCCCTGAAGAGCTCCACCAGACTACCTCCCTCAGATCCCTATGTACCCCTTTTCATTTTCGAGGACCTTCGAAACACTCTCCTTGTTCTAGCAACGCATGTCAGCAAAGAAGATATTCACTCACAACGCCCCGCATTTATCTTAGCTATCCCAACACAACTGGAGATTTTTTTCTTCGCAGATTCTCTAATGAGGAAATAAACAACTTCATACTGACTAAGGTTTGGATCGGACTCTAAGGGAAATGCACGTCATATGTCAACTGCTAGTCTCAAAATCTTTTTAAAAAGGACTCATTTAATAAGAAGCAAAGATTCGTGGAGTTCTACAAGTTATACCTTAACACAAATTCCTCCATACTACTTTCCAGGCAAGGGTTCTTACCGGTAGTCTCTAAACTATGGTGCCAATTACACTACCACTTAAGCAATATTTGACTTGAAGTTTAACTAAGAGGAGTAATGGACATAAAACTGTAAAGAGATGAAGAGCAGCAAGCCAACTATGGGTCTCCTTATTGTACACTCAGCGAGTAAACTACCCCACTAGTTGCCGCTAGCCCAACGGCCTGCCAACAGTGCACATGGTTCGCTTTTGTTTTCCAGGAAGTTCCAAACCTCTCTTCTTGAAATTCGGGTGTATAACCACAGATTGTATAGCGCCTCGAGGCTTCCTTGAAGATAAAAGAAGGCATGTTGCCTAAACGAAGTGATTAGCACAAATACCAGAAAGGAATGAAGGCCAATAATGTTGAACGGAGACCAGTCACTTGATACCGACAGTCAAATGAAGCGGTAGAAATCCTCCTTTTGGTCGAAATTCTAACCCAGCTCAAACGAGGTAATAGTTTCCTTTCGTCAAGATTCTATAAAACTGTGGTTATGTTTGGCTAAAGATCATTGAAACTAACAAATAAATTCCTTGGACCCGGAGCTTTGTATAAATCGTTCACAAACTTCACCTACAGCATTTACGCATGTCTATTAGTGAGACTTACAAACACTTGGTTCCAAAACGCAGATTTTTTAAAGAAGGTACCAGACCTAACACAAAATGTGATTTGAGAAGGGTCTTGAGCACTATGGCGCTGTCGAAGGCTTAGCGTAGGCATATAAAATCCCCCTCAGAACAAAATATTTGGAGATATTTTATGATTAGTACCGCAATCGTTGGTAATAGCATTGATTCAGAACGTGGAATGAGTTAAGTGCTAGAAGAAAAAAGTCATGCACCTTTTGCACTGCCACAAACAATAAAATCCACAACAAAAGTCCTTTGACAGTCAGGTTCCCTTTCCGCTGCCACCAAGGTAGCTTCCTAAGTCGTTCTTAAAGGAAACAGGAGCGCAACGGTTGTGTAGAATATATATGTTGTTAAACAACCTTAATTTTACAGTTTTAACGCATGCCAAAGGTATTGAATTTGTCGCTGCCATTTTTCTTCTTTCTTAAATAGTTCTTCTATTTTAAACGTCGTTGTTGTTTAAGCTCGTAGAACTTATGCTTGGCGCTCGAGACCTTGCCTCACTCTTGACCAACCCGCATGGCGGCAAATGAGAGGAGCGTCTTGGAGCGGTGCCTTGGTGTTTACTTTAAATCTGTTGATAAGCTTAAGGAAAACATAATGGTAATGAAGCAGATAGATAAACTTCTCTATAGGCTCTCTATGACAGCTACTACTTGCTTATCAAAGACAAAATTGAGTGCGAGGCCGGCGAGTGAGTTAGATTAGTACTTTGCTTCGACACATATTAATTACTTTTTTATCAAAAGGGTCTGCTTTAAGTTCAGCTCAACTTTTTTGAGGTGTATCACTATAAAGCTATGCTTACCTTAAGAGTTGTCTTAAGCGACCCTACTTGGTTTTTGTCGGGCACGTTGTTTCTCATTGTCTCGTTGTGATTGCAGTATTTCATTATTAACACCCTTGTGATTATGCATTACTTGCGATCTTATAACATTTGCTACCCATGTTACTGTTTTCTCAACCCATGGTGGCCTTTCTTTCTTGATCGCTAATAGTGCTCGTGTCCCTTGATCATTCTCCAAATGACTTTTCATCTAATGTCTGATTGTCGAATGAATGTTCCGTTCTAGTCGACTCGCAGTGAATTCTCAAAGCTTCAACAGAGCTTTGATGGATGCTCTTAACCGTTGCGATGAGTTGGAAACCCAGCTTCTGAGTTTTGAGTCGTGGATTGATTTACCTATCGTTAATCCAGTGGACTCTTCATCCAACTTTGATGATGTGTCTGATGACGCCCATCGTCTCGTAGATATTTTGCAACAAGTCCAGTCGGCCTTATTATCAGCAGTTTCTAAGGATGCTTTGAGAGATGCTCTTCCAGAACGTCAATCTATGAAAGCCCTAAAGATGGAACATCCCTCTCAACCTCAAAGGATGCCACAAACTCTGCGAACTCTCATGGTACCCCAGCACTTTCAACCCCAACAGCCAGAAATGACGGAGCTCCCCGTGACCACAGGATCAGTTCCGCCTGTGTTTATGCAAGACGAGCAATCAGCACCTCCAATAAGTGGTAGCCCCAGTCCACTTGGGGCCCCAACCCCAGCCCTTTCGACACCACAGCACTCCTTTGTACCACAAAAGTCGCAAGCACGACGCATTTACGGCGATGCTTCGTCCCCTTACAGTCAAAACCAGTCTTTCGTAATGAACAGAACTGGATCAGATACAAACTTAATGGGTCAACAACAATTCATGCAGCATCAAGAAGGCCTCAACGACATTCGTATGCAGGGTGTTCCTCCACATCCCTTACAGCCACCTAACGAACCCCCATCATATGGATTTTGATACAATTGCCACTGACCTCCCTTGCTCTGCATAAAATATTTTCAGTAAAGTTTTTGTATACCTACGTCGTACATTCTCTCTGACTGCCGATGCTTCATTGCGTACGAGTAGTGCCGCAATGCTAAACAAAATCACACTGCTTCGCAGTGCCAAACCTGCTATTGAGATTACGTTAAGGTCTATACTTTAGCACTGTGTGGATGCCGACCTGGAGCTTATTGAGACAGCCCACCGGTTTTTTTTGCGGGCGATTTTTCGCCACATGGCGGGATCGAGCAACAGCTGAACTTGCGCGGACCGATGAGGCGAGGGCAACACTGGTGGGCGGCACAGGAGGCGGTTCAGGAGTCAGAGGTCCGCAGCCATACCTACAACCTAAGCCTTGCAACATTCGCTACAATCCACGATTGTACACAGGCGGTGTCCTCCCCCGCATCGAGTGGGACGATGAGCCTGTTAAGCTGCCTGATTATGAACCGAAGGACATGTGGGCACCGCACCGCGCCTACTTTGGACAAAACGACTACATTGGTAAATGAACTCCTATTTTATTAGATACAAATTCAGACATCCTTGGCGATGGTAAGCTAAAGCCCGAGGATTTTTACACCGGGCCATCCTGGGCACTGAATGCGAAACATGAGTTCCAACGGGTGTGCCGCCTCCTTTACGACCCTGCTGTAGTGGCATGGCTAGAGGAATTCGAACCTACTCGTTTAAAAGACCTCAGAAAACGACACAAATACCTATTTGTGAAGATGAACAAGCGAATAAACATAAAGTTTAAACGCTATCGTGATGCTCCGTAGTGATTCTAATGTCTAATTGAGCATTAATAAATGCGTACACTGATTCACCTTCTTTGATGCTTCGCAGTTCGTGAAGTGTGGTTCACTTACAATCAAGTACGTATGTCAATGAAGTACCAAAAGTCGGACATAAGTCGATAGTATAACACGTGATACAGAAAAAGATCTGCATTTGTACTACGAAGTGTTTATACTAACATTCCATCAAGGAATTCAAACTGGGGGAGAGTTTGAATGGCACCCTCAATGTGAGCCAGTGAAAGAGTTTTCTTACTAGATTCCATAACCATTTGATGAGCCTCTCTTGCCAGTTCGCTGAGGAAGAGTTCAGTTGACTTTCCGATTAAAGCAACGGCTTCACAATTAACTAGCTGAACGGCAGGCACAGTTTTAATGATTGATTTGATTCGCGAGATAGGGAGGTAAAGCAACTTCGATGGGACTTCAGCAGTCTCCGAAGGCATCGAAGCGTCACCGCTCCGCACCTGTGTATCATGAACATTACTATCGTCTTTATCTACGCAAGGTGAAGTAAGCGAATCGGGGACGCGTACCAGTTGCTTCAATGGTTTCATCTAAGTCTTCGGCATTGATAGGATCATCGATGTTGTCCTCTATACAGGGATCAAACGTCTGGCTGGGATCTCGAGGTGAAGTGTCAAAGGCGGATTCCGAGTCGATCGCTGCGCCATTATCCATTTTTGCTAAATGGAAGTAGAATTTGGTAGTAAAGCAAGTTAGTAGAAGATCAAGCCGCGATGATACTAAAATTGCAGAAGGACCACCAAAAATGAGTCTTATTGCTGGACAAGAGGGCTTTGTAACAATGCATTCTGGACGGACCTCAGAGGTAGACTAACTAAATAGAGCACAATGGTAGATCAGACAGACTAAAGGCATGAACAAAGGTAAACCAGCAAAGAGCTGGGCATCATGTGGACTAACATACTTGCATTAATTGTTGAAGCCAAAGAAGTAACCTAGCCGCTACCTGCTAGTGCATAAAAATTAAACTATATTAGAACAGAACAGAATCCTTGACAGGTTTACAACATAATTACACGAACTCTGACGTGGGGAGGTAGCATAAAAAGACCAGCGGCACACGATGACTTGAGAAACCAAAGCATAGGAGGCATACTAGCCGCACACGACATTTCGAACTTGCGACAGGCGGACTTAAACACTTATTAACTCCTTAGGCTGCTGCGACTATCTTCAAAAAGTATTAATGAATTATGCTAAGAATCCTGAAATTTTTCAAATCAAATGCTTGAGTTCTGCTCTCGACGACAAACCAAGACCTAATCCCTCCTCCTCTAGCACATTTATTCACTCCAAATTAATGCTTTTTTGCCTAGTGAGAAGTCTCAGGAAGCTAAAACAAGTGTTTGCTTTTACGAGCAAGTGCAGTTAATCTTTGACAATTTGCCTGCACTTTCGAAAAAAATGACTACTATTTCGTTTATGCTCAGCTAGAATCTTGTTCCCATTTCAATGGCAGTATGATGCACTTTGTGACTTCTTTACTCTCATAATTTAGCATCGCTAGACCTCCCATTCGGCAATAGAAGGCATTAAGCTTGACGAGGTCCTTGTGCTTAAAGAAAAGAAGAAGATGAAGGTCTTTGGCTCGCTCCTAAAGCCAGCGAACACAGTGAACGGCAGGATGTACTCAGAGTGACCGCCAATCATACAGGCGTTTATTAAACCAAGTTTTAGCATCCCGAGGCTTCCCGCCAGCTAGAATTAGATATTTAGTGGAGCTGAATATAACGTATGCTTGTTTTAGTTGACCTTTACAGGAGAGAACCAAAATTGGAACGCGAATCCTGTGCATGAGGACCGTAGAACTTCCTCTCCGGGTGATATCTGCTATTCAGCTCATCTGTATTCCTAATGCCATTTTTCCTGCATTCAATGCCTAATAAATCTACTTCAACTAACCCTCTCTTTAAGTCCCTGATCTAAGGGCATGAGGGTGGGCATGCAGTTCCCACACTGAGTATTTGCATTCAGGGAGAAAAGGAGCTGATTGTGCTTTGGCTCGACCTAATGGTCAGCTTAGGTGTAAATGAACAAGGGGAATACCGGAGTAGCCGCCAGGCAAAGACGATCACACAGACAAGGTATTGAACAAATACTACGGAACGCATAAGACTAAAATGACTAATTTTGTTCAGAGAGAAAGGACAGAGGCAAGGCTTTGACATAACCCGAAGGTCAGCCTACCCACCACAGCAATTTGTTCAAAAAGCGACCGGCGCTCATACAAGCACTTGAATAAACAAAGTGTTATGTGCAATAAGTTAGTTTGCTGTAAAGGTTTTCCTTTTTGGCATTCAACAGAAGGCCGCATTTTCTGTACCGGAGCCAATGTATTTTATTTTGTGTGATTTTGGCTGAAGTTTTAGGAAAATTGTACATTTGCTCTGATTATGAACATTATCTGCGTCAGCGCAATACACTGTGGCATGCTTTTGGCTTTTTACCAAAATGGCTTGGCCCTTAATTAATTGCAACGAGTTATTACAATGTAACGGGGTCTTTGATCCATAAATGATCTTTTATTTACCACGCAAAGCGCATCGTGTTGCCAAATCTGACAATCTCCAAAGTTCTTTCAAGATTCCACAAACGCTTCACACCGTTCGACCGTACAGTCCAAAATATGATCGTTTTTGATGGTAGTACTGCAAAATCTTTTTACTGGACTGCTGTTTTAACCTTGTGAACCATATTATTACCATACCGAACGCTCTAATTCAGTTCCATTTTCTAAACATATCTTCTTTACTCCAGTATTATGTCCTCTTTCTCTCTTATGAAAATACAATTTTTTAGCGTTTATTATATTCTAATAGAATCAGCCTCAAACCTCGTATTCTTTCGATAAGAAGACATATTTTTTTATAGACATGGCTCCCTTAGCTTGGGAACAAACGGAAACAACTGATTTCCTAAGGAGATGTAAGTGGATGAATGCAAGTTGAGTCTCCTCGTTAATGACCATGTTAACGCATTTCTCTCCAATTTGCATTTACATTCATCGGTTGTCATAGGGATGCATGCGGTTCTCCCCATCCAACAAAGCGCCCATCACGGAATCCATAAGCCCTGGCGTGGCGTAGCACTAATGGTAGGTTCATTACAAGTTCATTGTGGCTCTCATTTTTTTACCATTAACCAATTAAGAGTCGAAAAGCAAAACTTAGGACCATCAATGGAAAGCTTGATCTTCTAGACTTCTAAACTTACCACTCTTGAAGCAACGCTAAGTTTTTTATTTTAATATATTTTGCTCATTTGATTTACATAGAGGAGATCAAATCCCATTCACTCAAGATGTCAGCTTTATTTTTCTGATTTAAAGAAGTCACAATATTATCAGGTCGAGCAAGACTCGTCCAAAAGTAGATTTAGGATGGTAGAAGATGCTGGATCCTATTAATGGAACAATCCACGTGTTCACATGGGCTGCGGCTCGACATGTCTTAGTAGTATTTATAAAATAACTTCCAGCCCGCCTTCCTACCCAGTAGGAGCTGCTTACACGAGTTGAAGAAGTGTACTGTGAGACAAGAGGTTTCGTTTTGAGTCGAAATATGCGTCAGTGAAGTGACGATGTTATCTGAACAGTTTAAGCAAAGCAGGCAATTCAGAGAGTCTGCCTTAGTGACATGTTTTGTAGTGCTAAATTGTTTTTTTTATTTAAGACCTTTCCTTCTGAAGTATCTGAGATGTCGGAAGTTCCGGCTCAAATATTGAAAAGTGGGTGTTTTTTCCTATATAACAAGCGTAGAAAAGAGGCGTAGTTGAGCCAAAATGAGGCTCATATGCATTTTCAGTGAGTGAAGTCGTGTACAAAGAGTTGGACAGGGATTCCAGGGGAAGGCTCCCAATCAGCAGCGTTGTAAAGGCACTGCAGTTGCTTGACCAAGCTCCAACCGAGAAAGAAGTTTGCGAACTTGTAGAAAAGCAAAAGTTGAATGGTGGTTTTGATGGTAGTAAGTTGGGTTGGGTTTCTGGTCATTAGGTTGGAGAAAAAAGTGTACATTTGGTTTCCCTTTTGTAACCTCTCACCGTTAAATCAACTTACTTTGAGAATCTTTCTACTCTAGGTCGGATTTCATTCGAACAATTCAGCCAAATTTTGAAGACAGTCTATCGGCCTCCAGAAGAGCACTTCAAACGCCTTTCCAATGCTTTCGCCGTAAATTTGACAAAATATTTTGACTTTAAAATCAGTCGGATGACAGTGGCCTGAAGTTAGCATAATTTTATTTCCCACCTCTTAAGGCAATAGCTTTCATTAAGCGCCAAACAGTAAAGAACAATTTGGCCTCTTGTGATACACAACGTATGTACTACTCGCCTACGTTTCTGGTATTTTTTAGCATCGTTTTAAAGGGTACAGCGATCGAACACAATGCTGTAACTGATTTCTATTGCGAAATAAATTCCATAACTCGCAGAGGTTCATATGAATGGCAACATTTTTACTTTCTTATTGATAACTTAAGGCTACTCAACTTTAATTTCAGCCTATTTTGAAATTTTCGCCGCAATAGGGAGCCTAGAATCGGTGCTTTGTTTTGTGAAGAAACATCTTTGCAAAGAGTTGGATGTGTCTCTGTTAATGAGCTTCCTGAAATAACTTTAGTGCTCAAAGTTAAACTGAAGGGCTGTTGGCTTGGTCTGGAGAGTTGTTCACCCACAGGTGGTACGTCGCAAAAGCTGAGGGTCAGACGAACAACTAACACTTTACATAGTCCCTTCTCTTTCGAAGCTCATCCCCTTTTACTCACTTTGGCTAACCTCCGTGGAAGCGGTGTCGCTACAGTTGAATTGTGAACAGTCCCAACTCCTTTGTTGGGATTAGTCGTCGTGTCTACCACCCGTATCGCATTCATTTTTTCACGCCGCTAAGACAACTCACTCAGCTGCAGAAATCAAAATTAATGTCTCCTAAGCTCAAGCTCTAAGCTCCTAGATCTATTTGAGGATGGAAGAAGACATACTGGATGGATTGAAATTACTGAAATTGCCTTGGGATCCACTTACATAGCTAAGTTCTAATGTTGAGACGATAAAGTGCCTCCTCTAACAGAACTCGTGGCTAAACAATCAGCGTTATGCAATAACCACTCTTTGGAACAATTTCGCACAGCATCAAAGAATATACTTTTTCTCGAGGGATAATGTGATAGCAATAAATGAGCTTAAGGATGCCAAGAGAGGCATTTAGCAAGGGATTGTTAGGTACGCAAACTTCTGGAACAGTTTGAGTAATATGCCACTATATTTTAATCACTATGGGTTTTGAAGGAACTCTTATTTGACAGATTTTGAGGTCGTCTACTTTGGCGCTTGTCGTAAGCAGATTATGGAAATTTAAGGCTGCTGCCTCATACAATGGTCCCATACTACTAGGGGGAAGGGTTTATGAATTTCTATTATTTGACAGCAGCAACTTTGTGTCGATCATGCGTTTTCCTCCACCTTCTTTCGCACCTAGGTACTGGATGACAGGAACAAGGGCATTTTGGCTGCGGATTTTGTATCGGAGTTGCTTCTGACCAGAGGCGATGCACTAACGAAGAAGCAAGTGAAGGTGCTTATGAGCGAATCCAATGTGGCAGCAGACGGATACTTTGCTTACATGAGTACGCTATGCTCCTCCGTCTCACCTCCTTTTGTGCCTTGGTCGCATTTGCAATTGTCACTAGCTGATAGGACAGAGATTACAGCAAGCCATTTGAAGATCCACAGTTTGTTTAATTCGTACCTGTTTTTCCTACCAAACGCCATTTTGATAGGTTCACAAATGCCTTTTTCTACTAAAGGAGCATTTGTGTAAGTCTCACGCGTCCAAAACCCTGAGAAGTTGAGGCATGGAAGGATGTGGAAGTCCTAATGGTTGTGGTTATGGCATAACATTCATCCCTTCGATATTTCAAACCGACCTTTCTTCACACAGATGACTTCCTTTACTGATCAGACCGGATGGAGGAGTAGAGCGCAGTCCTACGTGAAGACTAATTTACTATCTAGTAACATTTTAGCCTCCCTTGTTTATAGTTTAACTAGCTGTGGACTTGTGGGTGGAAGGAGTAGGAGCATGAAATTGTATGTTTTAGCAGTTCTTCAAGGAAAAGGAAAAACAGGAATCGGAAAAGCAAACAATCGTTAGTATTCCAGTTTCCGCAAGCCTCCGCAACTCCATAACCGATCATATACTTTACATGATTCCAAATGTTCGCCTTAAAAATTCAAAATGTGACGCCCTTTTGACTGTACAAAGGACACAAATGCGTATAACATTTTGACGGTTCGGTGTTTATGATCACCACCGCTAAGATTATCTCACGTGTAGCCGTTTTTGCGGTCTTTGTCTGGTGCCTCAGGAACCCTAGAAATTGGTCAGTCCGGCCATAAAAGTGGATCAGTAGTGGGCGTTTTCATGTAAAATTGCAATGGTTTGCACATCAAAGTTCTCCGAGTCTATCAACCATAGTCGCGTACTATTTGATGCACAAGCTGCTAATAACTTTCTTTTTATACAAAAATTAGAACACTAATTCCACTAGAGGAAATAATAAATAACTCCTCTGTTTATGTATCAGAGCATAAGTGAGGCAGTGATTGTGCTTTTTTGGTAACCGCTTCCTCTGGATGTGGAGCTAAAGATTAGTTATTCCACACAACACCCTCATAAAAATGCAGCCCTTATTTTATGGTAACCATAACAAGATTTATTCTGAAAAGAAAGTAAAGAAGTGTGTGTGATATCATCTCACAAAAGTGATGTATTTTCACAATTTTTTTAACTTTGATCTTTCTATTTAAGATTTTGTGCACTGCTTACTGGAGGGACATTCCAAATTACAACACCAGAAGAAAAACCAAACCAAAAAGAAAACTGGAAAATGAAGACCTGATGATTTTTCACTGTTTTTGCCATTTGTAATAATTACAATCAATTTATTTAGAAAAACTATCCGGATTTATTGCAAAATATATAACATACATACGTCTTAAAGCATGTGTGAGAAAATTGAGAAACCGTTAGAAAACAACAACCCTTACATTTACAACCTAATTACAAATATCCCGCCCAATAACATGGATGAGAAGGTAAAACAATACCGAGCGACTTCATGACATTTTTGAATGAATTTATGGTTTGGTATTTCATTCAGGCGGAAGCTCAGTAACCGTTTAGTTTAGTCTCAACACCCTCGGCCTTTGCTCCAAGCAAAACGCTACATCCGCACTTCCATTCTACATGCTTTTTGTGTGAAATTGACCAATAGGGAAAGGGGTGGCGTTAGCCAATGGGAAACCTGGGCTCAGCAGTAGGTGAGGCGACCGCTCTTGAGAGGCAGTGGGCGTCACCAGAACCCATCGGCAACAGCACGCGATAGTCACATTGATTCGACAGTTTCCGATCTTCCATTTCATCCCTCCAAGTGCTTTGTACCTGTTCATACATCGAAAAGTTATCGAGACCTCTGGCATTAACCAACATGAGGATGCCAAACGGTAGGAGTCACGAGACTGTACACAGGAGTAAGCTGTGTGACTTTTCTGTTTTATTTTAATAGCGTCGTTATGTCCATTGGCCGAGTTTGTAAAAACACACATTTCGGTTTGTTGGCTTCCTGACGCATATTGAAGGCTAGAAGAAAGTTCAGGTCAGGCATAGCCGTAATAATAATAATAATTTGGGAACCCTTGGCTATGCAAAATTGAATTAATAATTACACATTTTCTTAACTTATTTGCATTATCACGTTTTCCACACAAATATAAACATCCGCTTGACATGAAGCCAACAACCCACTGACTGAGCTATTGAAGTCCCTTTGAATCCAGCAAAGGCGGTTGATTTGCCATCTTGCCAAAAAAAGCAGGATTTTCATTAACAAAGTTCGCAAGTCGCTTTTTGGTGCCAGTTATGAATTTGCAGTATACCTTTTTGGTTAAACTTAAGCATATTTTAAATCTCACAGACCGGTGTGCATGACTTGTGAAGCAGTGCAGCACTAATAAGTTATTTCTGATTAGGCCTTCCAGTTGCTTTGGTCCATCTATAGCCCTTCTAAAATGCTTATTCCACCCATCCGGCAATAGGTGGGTGTTTTTCAAATAACTTAAAAACGATTCTTGAAAAATCTGCCCTTTGCACAACAGAAACATAATAATGTTATTTTTATTTTAGACGCACTAGGTAATGGATCTCCCTTGCCCACTAATGTCAAACGTTATAAACACAAAAGTGAAGTTCAGTCTTATCGTTGCTGCCGCTTTTCTCCTTCCGAAACCTCAAAACCCTTGATAGAGGGTCCACAATATGCCATTAATGGACTCCAACTTGGCACTGGTTCAGAGGGTCGCAAGAATGTTAGATTCTCGGAGCAAATAGGCTGTGTGCAGATCTCTTGCATTGATTTGCGCGAAGGTCTAGTGGAGCGGATATCTGGAAGATTAAAATCCTTCTGTAATCCACGCAGTTCAACAGTAATTTTTGCCAGCGAGCCAAGCGCCCACTTACCAAGTCTTTTGTGCCTTCCCAAATGCAATCGCAGACGTCAGTCCATAGGTTCCATTGAGGTTGCAGTCTGGAACAGTGGTCGGCAACTGCGTCAGACCATTGCATCCCCAACACCCTTTAGGCGGTTTGCTGACTTCCCTTCAAACCTTCTACGCGGGCACGAGGTTCTCAGCTTTGACAAGTGGCGGAGCCAGCCTTCACTGGAGTCGCACGTTCACAAGAATAAGATGGGAATGGAGTTGCCTCTCAACTCGCACTTTGATAGGATGGAATCTGTATACTTGTCTGATTTGGATGAGGACTATGAATGGGGAAGCACACCGAGTGAATGGGAAGGGTATGAGATTCCACTTTCCATCCTCGCTCAGAAGGCGAATATGAAACAAGTGAAGCCTTGGGAATTGACCAGTAATTACAGTTCAGACGAGGACTATGAGTTTGATGAATACATGACACCGAAAACGGATTTGCTCCACATTTTGAAGGCAAATAAGTGCACACAGTGTAAGGTGATCAAAGAATCACCTGAAAGAACGGAATCGTCTGATGAGAAGTTGACGTCTTCGGCAGTGACATTAAGGAGAACTGCTCTACAGGATAGAGTGGCAAATTCCCTTAACCGATTAAATCTTCCCGAATGGATGAAAAATAAGCCAAAGGGCATGGTTGAAGCCAAACATATCAAGTCAAGCGTTCGATTACCTCGCTTCCCAAGGTACATTGACACAACATTCGACAGCGGTGGTTCAGTTTTCGCAACTTTATCTCCCATCACGACCCACCAGTAAATGACCATATTTTCGAGGAATAATTTCGTCAAACAGAGAAGAACCTTCTCATATTCAGCTCTTAATTCGATTTTTCTTGCCTAGAATTAATGCTCTAGGACTGTTTTGTGTGACGCGATAAACATTTCTTTGTAATATTTGAAAGCAGCATTACTTTTCACTTCACTTCACCGAGTAACAAGATGAAAGGCGCGGCTTCTATTTTGTCAAAGTAAGACGATTTCACCTGTTGTACTGAATATAGGCACCACAACGCAATTCACGGGTCTAGACGCCTCATTGTCCAGGACTGCTCCCGCAATGTGAATGTAGGGGGTATTGGCTACGCCTGCGGTAGCAACTGTATCCACTCTCCGCTGTCAGCTGGCAACATGTCAGCAAAGCGGGCTGTCACTATTGAAACATTGAGCATGAAGATAAGGGAACTAATTTCCTAAAAAGTCGCCCACCTCTCACACTGGTCACATTTATAGGAGGTGAACCAATTTGTCTGCCAACTGAAAGTGTGTGCGAGTAATAAAAGTGATCATCCGAATTTTTTAACAGTTCAGTGGTTGAACCATTTTGATTGTAGAATAGTTATAAATTTAGATCCTCCATGAACTCCACATTTGTCTGAGGCTTAAATACAACATGAAGAACATTTTAATGTTGAGGTCATTTATCAATGTCGAAGTCAACAACGAATTTGTTTGAATGACTATTAAAAACGGACGTTACCGTTGCTGTCGGTAAATTGCATATCGCTAACTAGTGGAGGAATTGCTCACTCTTAATCACACTGTCTTGTCCATCAATCACTTAAAAGGGGAAAGTGTTAGATAGCTGCATGCCTTCGGTTTGACCTGGTGCACCAAATACACGAGTAGCTTCAGTGTTTCCTACGGAAGGCTTGAGAGGCGTTAGTCGACAACCGTAAAGGCCGTGAATAACGTTTTCACCGCTGTAGTGACCAAAATCTCAGCGGTTCTGGGTGGTGAGTTTGCAATGGAGTACTTAGACCAAAAAATATTTCATCAAAAAGTGCGCACCGGCCTTATACAATATTGTGCATGAAATACAAAGCGCTATGATAACCATTAAGGCAAAAAAACTGTTTGATGGTAATTTACGTCATTTCAATCTAAAAACTTCAATGTAGTCACGTTGTATAGTTGCTCACCTAGCTCCAAGTGGCACTTTCTATGGAGGTATGGACATTCCTACTTATAGTACGAGCTCAACAAAAAAAAATGCGCAAAGTGCTCGGTCCCTTTAACCTCCTTCTTGCTCATGACTTTGAAGGAAATGGGTGAGGGGATGAGCGCTTTTTCATAGGGGCATAGAGGGAAGAATAAAATGCTTCTTTTTGCATCACAGTAGGCACGAAAACTAGATCTAGAGTTGCTCCCGACAGTCTCAGATCACGAAGGCCGAGTCTTCCCGATGACATGTCCAGCATTCTCAATTTCGTTGAGAACAGCAACGCTTGGACACACTCCATTCTCACACGACAAGTACTTGTGTGCATAAGACCTGTATTCTTACTCTCACTGAGTTAGATTTCTGCCTCATAACATTCAGACTGAAACCCTTATCACCCTTTTCACGGACGCAATTTCAAAAGCACCGCATTTTGCCCTCGATTGTTCCTTATTGTGTGACAGTGGGTAGGAATTGCTATAATTTTGGAGCGCCCCCCTTCAACTTACAGCTCCAGCTAAGGAAGAAATGCGAAACATTCCTATTTTTAAGCGCTGATCAAACAGTATCTATGGGGAAGACTTTTCTAAGTCAAGTTATAAATTAAGGTCATGAAATGGAATTTATCGGGAGGAAAAGGTACCTTTTATGATGGAGAAGAATTTAAATCTAGTTTATTCTAACCAGAAATTGTACTTTAGAAAAGGCGATCAGCTGCAGCCGCCTATACTCTTTAACCACTTCGAGACAAATATTTCAGCCCTCAACCACCAAATCAAGCTACAGGAGTCGGCTTACCGCAAATTAAAACGAGAAGATACCTTGTTGAACGTTTGAGGAACATGACTTGAACGCATCTTTTGCTACACCATTCCAATGAATTTCATAAAAACTCTGGCTAATTGATCCTGTCGACTGCACACGCACCACCCATGCAGTGATTTGGAGAATTGGCTGCCTATAAAACCGGTTCAACCTGTTTTGACACTGGGTGCTCATCTCCTGTTTGCAAAGCAGCTCTGTCACTAACTCGAAACTGTTGACCCGCGGTTACGAACGCGAGGAATAAAATTTGCCCTGACCAACGTTTGCCTTTAAAGTGAGCATCAAATTGACAAGATTTACCTCCAAATAAATCAAGTCACATCAAAAACAGGTGCTGGCACATAATATGCCTCTTCTGTTTCAGCTATCGGGAAGAGAAAAGGGCTTTCAAATAAGGCTGCAACCCGTCATTAACTAAAGGAGCATTGTTACAATCACGAGTAACAAACATTTGACCGGCGATGACACCTCATATGATCGAGACTATAAGATTGACTTGTCATTTTCTTGATTTACTAATGACAAATTTGGCAGTAAAAGTGCACGTTTATGGTTATAATAGACCTTCATTGGTGCCTCAAGATGGTCAAGTATAAAGTGAAAAAAGCAAGTATGAACAGCATAACAATAATTTTCACAGTATAGGCACGATAATTATAGTTACTAACAAACACTGCATTAGTAAAGACACAGAACGTAGTCCAAATTTTTCTGGTTACAGTTATTCAATCTCTTCCTATACACGCTACCGCCTAATGGGAAGCCTCAGGATGCCATATTAATAGGAGTAGGATACAAACAGCCTTTGTAGAACTTCAATTCTGGCTCACATCGTTTGCGACACACTTTGCGGCATGAAATAAAGGCATATCCCTAGAGGGGGAGAGAGAGAGCTCCAATGTCTCTGTCTCATTCTCATGATACCCAAACAACAACTGAAACAACTTAAGCCATTTCATCTGGCATCCTCATACAGACGTTGACATTATGCAATTGCCAAAACATTCATCTACACGAGCCTGAGTTAAATCCGTTTTCCTTATTACACACCTGATTCGAACCACTGTTCCGACGTCTAGCAGTGGACACACACGGTGTTCTGCAGGATTTCCAGCTTCTCAATGGTTTCCAAGCGGAGCATAACTCCAGATCCAGTTGAAGCTGCTGAGGGTGTCCGGCACATTACTCTATCACACAAACCAAAGACATGTGCGGCTGGATCATGAATACTTTTTATGGCATCAATTACGCTGTGATGGCGTATACAGGAGATTCGTCGGAGGGAGTGCTGGATATGTAGTTCAAACGAGAAAACGAGCTATGTAACACTTTGATTGTTCAACCACCTGGATAACTGAGCTTGCCTCCGGGTCACGCCACTAGTCTCCTCCTTTCCCTTTTTCTCTGAACATACTTATTCAAAAAAGTATTATGCCTTCTAATAACAAACTTAATAGCAGTACCATCCTCATCATATTTGTAACTGATAACTGACAAAATCTAAATTTTATGAAACTTTGATTCGGAGAACAAAACTGCAAAGAAACAATGCGATACCAGCACCAAAATTAATGGCTATAGTGCCTCAAGGTCCCTTTCCAGGTGCTATACGATACATCACTTGCGCCAAATACATATATTTCGAAAAAGAAGAGGGGAGGTAACCTAGCTTTTGGCATGATCCAGGGGACAGCCTGCCCGACGGAAGCAATATGGACACCGCCACTGACACTAATGGAACGTCTCAAAGCCTTACTTTTGACGGATAAGAAGGAGGAGGGTTAGGATTGATCAAATGCTTGTATTCAGATCGGAGGGGAAGGCGTAGTGAACGCCACTTTTAATAGTAGTCAAATGAAAAATATAAGTGTAGCATCCCGAGAATTCCCATGGATGGAAGAAGGCAGTGAGTGAGGCTGGATACATTTATTCCGAGGAGAACAGAGCAAATGGGTCTAGCATGTCTCGAAGGCCAGCCCACGAATACAAGGGTCAGGCAAATCCTAAAAAAGTGCTTGCCAAACGTCAGATAGTCACATAAACAAAGCATTACAGTAGCGTTTTATTTATGTGACTACCCGTGTCTTGCGGTCACATTGGCACTTTTCTTGTTCATACTTGCATGAGCTGGCTTTTGGGCCGTCCAAGTCCAGTCTCGCTTATTTTCTCCTTACAATAATATATTCACGCCAATCTAATTCACCTTTTACTTAGTGGGAAGTGTAAGGACCCTAAAAACAAAGTATTAAGACCAGCAGCACAACATAAAAGGTGGTGCAGCGATTCAATATGATATATTTCTATAAGAGAACCTTTTGCCACTGATGGTAAGGCTTGCTGGGGACCTAGTGGCTTGATACCATTAATGAAAGAGAAGTAAAAACATATAGATAAAATAAGCTGGCAACGAATTTTATTGAGTTGTACAAAAATTTTAAAAATTAAGCTGTAAAGACTATAAGTTATCAGTCCTGAAGAAGTGAGGAACCCTTGAAATGACTAATGTCACTCGGTTATTATTAAAACACACAAGCACACAAAGCACGTAAATCAATTGTGTTTTTAAATTAAAAAATAGAAACTTTATCCTTCTTTGGAGGCCAGCTATTTACTATTTATACAACTTGATTACATCTTTCTGAATCGTTGAAATTGATCTGGTAAATCGGCGTGATATCTGATTTCTCCTGTGTCGCCATCTTTGGGTCGCTTTCCATCTAATTTCGCTAGCGAGAATGGCAAGCGATGATAAAATGAACATCGATAGCATCATTGCGCGACTTCTAGAGGGTAAAGCTTGCCGATTTTCTACAAGTCAAATGCTTAATCGATGAATTTATCTAAATTAATCCACTTGTAGTAAGGCGCATCAGACCTGGGCGGAACGTTCAACTGAATGAATCTGAGATTCGAGGACTTTGTCTCAAGTCTAGGGAGATATTTCTTAGTCAGCCGATTTTGCTTGAGCTGGAGGCACCCTTAAAGATATGCGGTGACATCCACGGTCAATATTACGACCTACTGCGGCTGTTCGAGTATGGAGCTTTTCCACCTGAAGCAAACTACCTCTTTCTTGGTGATTATGTGGATCGCGGGAAGCAATCTCTTGAAACTATTTGCTTACTCCTTGCATACAAAATCAAGTACCCTGAGAATTTCTTCCTATTGAGGGGCAACCACGAGTGTGCATCTATCAATAGAATTTATGGATTCTATGATGAATGTAAGTTTTAGATTCATCTCAGGTGAATGGAATCTAATTTGTGATTGCTCATTCGGTGATGTTAACATTATTCTACCTTGAGATCTGTGCAATCTTCCTTAACCTCGTTAATGTTGCCGCACTTTATCCATCTGCATTAGATCGATAACTCTCTATGCTCTGACCCTTATGGCATCTCAGGTGCAGCACTACGGTCATTTTCATTACTTGTAAAACTAGTTCTAAACTCATGAAGTGGTATCAGTAGGAATCAAATCTAAGTACCAACCTTCAGGTATTAAACAGTCATGACTATTTCCAGTATGGCCATGAGTGCCTTGATTAGTCGGTCATGGTCTAACGGAAGTCTTATTTGGTGGTTTTTTTCTGGTCACTTTATGAACAGTTCTGGGCATTGGTCTCTAATTTCGGACCTCCTTCAACAGTATAGTCATTCTGTAAACAGACGGACAAGCTGATAGTACGCGATCTTTCAAGCAATCGTCCCCGGACGCTTGTGTCACTGGTCCCTACACGTTATGTGGATAGCACTTGATCGCTTTTAGTCTGGCTAGGTTGGTATGCTGTCAAAATATTTTTGGTGCATTGGATTTAATTATGTCATTAACCTGCGGGTGAAATCTGGTTACCTATTTTTTCTAACAATGTGTATAGTCTTTTGCATTTTCAATAGGCAAGCGCCGTTATAATATCAAACTCTGGAAGACCTTCACAGACTGTTTCAATTGCCTCCCAATAGTGGCAATCATTGATGAGAAGATTTTTTGCTGCCATGGCGGTGAGTTTTTAAGTTATTTCACACCGCATGTTCATAGAATTTCTTTCTCACAGACCTTGAGAAGCTCAGCAAATTGGCACTGATTTAAGAAGGAGAATTAATGTGTTGTTTTGCTCTAGTACTCATTAGCTTTGTGTGCTTACAACCATGTAAAGTATGAAGTTGCCTATCCGTTGTGATTTTCAGCTGATCTCCGGATGAAACTTTCAAGACCACTTTCCTGAGTACACAGTTCATATTTTAATAAATTGGTTGGCATTATACTTAGTACAACAATTTACCGAAGTCATCGCTAAACATCTCACTAGGTCGCCGGTGAATGGTGAGGGTGATTCACGTCTTCTTTGGTGATGTTCCAATGAAATTGTCTTAATGTCTCTTCTACTGCGCGCACAAGCAAGGCGTTGGGGTCGTTCCCCAATCTCCTTCCCGCCCTCCTAACTGATGTTAAGATCATCCTGTATTATTTGCCATGGACAATAATCCCATTTTCATTGGGTATTTTGCAAAGCACTTTTGCAACTCATCAAGTTCGAAGAGCGCAACATAGACACCAGGATTATGTAGATATTCCGCGTTGAAGTCAAATATTATTGCCTTGGAAAGCGCCTCACTATTTGTTGTAGGTCTTTCGCCGGACTTGCTGAATATGGAACAAATTCGTCGTATCATGCGTCCTACGGATGTTCCCGAGCAAGGTCTCCTTTGTGATTTGCTCTGGTCCGATCCGGATAAAGATGTATCCGGATGGGGTGAAAATGATCGCGGTGTGAGCTACACATTTGGTACTGATATGGTGGCGAAATTCCTCCAAAAGCATGATCTTGACCTAATCTGCCGGGCGCACCAGGTAGTGGAAGACGGGTATGAGTTCTTCGCCAAGCGGCAACTAGTCACACTCTTCTCAGCACCCAACTACTGTGGCGAGTTTGATAATGCAGGCGCCATGATGTCTGTGGACGAGACTCTCTTGTGCTCTTTCCAGGTGAGTACTTTTTCCCTCTAACTTCTATTGGGCTATTTTATACATCTGCCCGCAAAATTGTCTACAAAATTCATAAAGTATTTTCAAGTGGCTATGCTCTTTTGTAAAGCCGATATTGTTAAGTAACGGGGTGTAAAGCTGTTGAACTCATGTCAAACGCGTCATGGCATAAGTACTTTCACTTTCATCCGTGTTAAATGTGTAGAGGCGATAAAATCCTTATGTGGAATACCCTTGTTGCGCCATGCGTCACAAATTTTGACAACGCTTGTCTATTTTTAATGAAGGTAGAATTTTTTCCTGTTGACTTTGAGGTGGATACTCAAGATCCGGTGTCATTTTTACTCTTCAACTAGACCTGCATAGCTGTTAGCGTTTCGACGTCTCATTTGCGACATTCTCTCAGGAGGCGAGGCTTGGATGTTTGAGTGCCAGTGGATTGTAAGGTCGGTGTTTGGCTCCTCTTCGCGATGGGTTGCTTCCATCCGTTAACACGGGTTGGCTAGGGTATTGTGGTTTATAGTGCCCTCAGGGTTATTATGGACTTCGCAGACTTGCTGGGCTTGTTATTTTAGCGTCATAATAATTCATTCCAATAATGGTAGGTCCTCCCACCTGCATTTGTTGACTGCTTTGTTGTAGTGAGCGACGGTTTTTTGTTGGTCAGTCGTGGCATTATCAACTAAAATTGGGCAATATCTCTTCATCAGGCCGAGTTTGGTGACCACGCTTCGTATTTTTAGAAGCTTTACTTTGCTCTCTGCCCTGACGGTTACGGGTTCATATAAATGGGTAGCCTTTCCACAATTCTGATAAGTTTTAGACCACTATCGCGGATGACATTTTGCAAGGAATATATAAGGGCTCATGCACCAACATATTAGTTCTGAAAACGTCTATTGCTGCTCTTATACTACAGCCGAATCTTTCTCAAACATGGAAACCTTGATAGCTTACAATTCATTTTCAATTGTGTTTTTTTGGTCTAGTGCAGTCAGCTTTCATTTCGAAATTATTTATTTGTAAACAAGGGTGTCCGGCTTAGTTGCTTCTTTCAAACTTGATGTGATCATGGTTCCATGCAGCGGCGCCACTTAATGTACGCTGGGTGGGTTCCTCTCATCCAGTTTTTACCAGTCCAATATATTTGTAACAGATGTGTCACATTTTGCTAAACTAGATTTTGAGACCTAGTGATGCTTTCCTATTGCCATTTGTAGTTATATTCGATAGGTTGAGCCCATACGGAGCATCAGGAAAGGATCTTTTGGCTTCATTAATTGCTCTTTCTTTGAAAATAATTTAGCCTCAAATAAGTGTGGCACAACGTGACTCGTTGCGTTGCTTGTTATAGATGTGTTTTAGTGCTGTCTACGGCTATGGTTTTACACCAACTCACTTTCAGCGTGAGTGAAGACGTCCATGCGAATCAAAGTACTTTAGTTCTAACCAAAGGTTTACTGAGCCTCACCCTTGTCCGCGATAGTGCCACTAAATGACTGTTCGAAAAGTCTAAGGTCACTGTCGTTCGCATCTCACTAACTGTTTGACACTTGGGATTGAGTACCAGAAGTCTTGAATTATCTGTTTTCACCCTTGACAGAGTTTGCTTCTTATCCCTGCTTGGTTACCATGGGGAATTTGCGTTTTCATAAATTCGCTGACGATAGTTAGGGGTCGATGAACATTTAGTGGCTGATTTGATCTTTATTATTTGCGATGTTGGGACACAGCTTACTTATAAACTGCTCTGCTGGTCGTTGAGGTTCATATTTCTCTTGAAGAACGGGACCTCTTGCTTATGCAATTGGAATGACGTAAGGGGTTAGGTATATGACGAATGCTAACTTTTAGCGCAATCCTTGATTGAAACAGTGTTAGTCTTTGGTGATGTCATACTTGAAGCATCGGCTGTGGCCTTCTCCACGTTTGTCTCTTGTAAACTTTGGGAACATTGCCTTGCCTTTGTCAGCAATTTTTATCGCGTGATTCCAGGATCATTTGAAGCATGTGTGCAGTGTCCTTCGATGCTTCACGTACTTACGACCTAAACTCGGAGATTGGCATTTAATTGACAAAACTGTTTTCAAACCAAAAATTTGCTCAGCAATTCTTCAAGGGGCTATAAAGCTCTATAACGTTAACCCTGTCGGGTCTATTATGACAATGCTTATTTGTAAGTTAAGTGGTGAAATGATAGCGTACGCACTGCCTTATCGGCATCGATAGTCCTGAGCCGTCCTTTATTAGGGAATCGGTGGCTTTGACGGCTGCCTCCATGCTGAATTTATCGTTTCTCCATCTTAAACATAAAGGTTGAAATCACTTCTTCAGTTGAAATTCTTTTAGCCTACCGGTTGCCAACTTTTTGGTTAGCACTTGGGCGTTTCTACCGCTTCCCCTTGATCATATTCCTCAAATATACCAACACTGCGGATTCTAGGCGCTACTGTGCTAATCGATGCTTAAAGTACCTGTTCAGCCATCCCTTCATACCACCTGCGTAAAATGAGTGGATTTCACATCACTGAGATGCATCATTGATATCAACTCTGCTAAAATTAATGTAGTCTTAAGTTGTTAATTTTTTGGTAGGTTGTTTCTGTGGCAGAGATAGGTTGGAAACTGGCGCGCAATACCAGTTTGGCTCCTCGATTGTGATTACTGGTCGGCTCGGTTGAAGCCGTTATTTGGTCTGTTCGTTCTATGCTGCAAGCCGTAAATACTTGGCAGGCAGATACTTTAATGAGTTGGTGAGCCTCACGCTGTCAGGCGCCTGCAGCTTCCGGCAACCATGGGGACGTGTGCACACACCAGCGTGCTTGCACGTGGCCACGATTGCGCTAACAGTCGTGCTGTGCTGTGCCCTGTCCTGCCGTTATCGATTTACCACTTTCTCCATGTGTGTGCACACCACACTGCGCACACGTGTGTAGTCGTGCTTAAACGCGCAATTATAACATTCACATGCAGACATATATACACATACACACATTTTCAGGCCCACTTGAAGTTTCACCTCTATTGCTGTTGCCAACTGCCTGATCTCGTCCCTGTATATTTGTGATACTAAGTAGACAACTGTTGCCACATTTTTGGAATTCCATGTCATTTTACCATACCTACTGACTGTTGCTTTCCCTTTCTCCTCCCTCTTGCCACTTCTCGGGACTCTCGCGTTCACCCTTTTCCCTCTGCACCAGCGGTGCACAAATTACGTATTTTTGGAGGGGAGTGTGGTTGCTTTTGCTCCACTTGATTACCACAGGACGACGACAGTTGTAATAATCACTTGTGGTTTTATGTGCTAGTTAGTAGTCAAAGTGCTTTTCACACCCTTGTGCTTTGAACCCACACGGACCGTTGCTTGTTTTACATCACGAATGAGCATGCTGGTAGTCTCTGGTTTAGGATTTGGCAGTTGGGGCATAAATCAGGCTCTGATAGAGGCCCATCTTTCTCAAATGTTGTTACTTAATTCACTACCTTTGTGAATGCTGAGAATGTAAGCGCTCATCTGGGTTTTGACAGCAGTGGTGAGAACTACGTGCAGTTGTTAATCGTGATCGATTTTGTTCTTGTTTCAGGCTTTGTTCTAGCGGGAATATGCTTGTGTTGTTTGAAACAACACAAATTTATTCAGGCACTACTAACTACTATCACTACTAATAGCATTCATTTATTTATGCCTGAACATCATTGCATAGTTGTGAGTTTCAAACCATATTCATTCCAGTATTGGTGTTCACCCAGTGCTTTAAATTTATCCCTTCATCAAAATACAATGTGTTAATGAGATGCCTAGGCCGTCAAGCCTTTGATTATTTGTTATAGACTGATTCATATTATAAAATTTGCGCCTGGCATCACTTTGATGCTCATATAGCCCTGATGGATGGCATCTCTCTAAACTTCTGTTGTAAGTTTGCGAATTTTACCGATAGGAAGGTGAACTGATTGCATTACAAATGTGAGTGCTTTTCTGGTGGTAGTCACTCAAAGAGTTGGAGTTTTGAGCAATATTTTGTGAATTTTTGTGTTCCTTCAATGTCGCACAGAATGAGGTCAAGAATTCTCCACTTGGGGTATTTATTGCTTATTGCCACACTTAGGTGCGCACTACTCTCTGGTGCTACTGCTTCTTGCTTGTCATTTTGAACGTGACTTTGGTGTTTGTCGGGAGCAGTTTATTTCGAAGTTTTTTCTCTCACTCACGTGATGTATCCTGTTGCGACTTTTTTGTGTCCGGCTTATGTCAGCTTGTCAACCAGTTCACTATACAACGAACACATATATTTACAAGTACTTGATAGGCTTATCAATGTACTGGCAAAAAAAGCATAAAAAACCTGCATCCTAATGACAATCTTTGGACAGATTTCATCAGATGGCCCCTTGTGCAGGGCTGTGTGGGTGTTTGGGAGGGTTATTTGATGCGATGTGTTATTTCAAAGGTAAAATGGAAGGCTTACTGAAGGGTAGTTAACGTCTATGCAGGTTAGACTCACCCCAGTAGATTTTAGCATTGTATTATTGAATCTTTTAGATCTTGCGACCGGCGGAGAAGAAAAAGCCATACACCACATTTGGTGGGGGAAGTAGGCCAATGACTCCGCCAAGGGGCACCAAGCCCAAAGGAAAATAATCTCCTCCCTTACTGTCCTCTCATTGTCTGACTCTCCCTGTCCTGTCTCATCCCACCCGCATATTCCTCTTTCCCACTTCTCGCCATCGCACATCCCTCTTGCACGGTGTCTGTGCAGCCGGCTTCACTTCCCTTATCTCTCCCCTCCGCAATCTTGCGGACTTATTTCACAATCTCTGCTGACGTGACCACTAGGAGGTACGGAATAACGACAGCACAGGGAGCTTGCACAACGCGACCAGTAGCAGTGGTCGCAGCTCTGCACTGCCATCCGCCTTATTTTAACAGGACGGATGTGTGCGTGGGTTGGTGGTGTGGTCGGTTACTTTCCTCTCTTCCGGTTGCGTCACACAAGACCCACAAGCTGCATTCACTGTGCTGTATCCGACGCCGCCACCTTCACTTTTGTACATGATTTTGTCTATTGTCCGCGCGCCCACTCTTTATTCTTCCTAGTTTTCTTGTACGTCCGTGTGTTTGTGTGCGTGTGTGTAGGTGTACTCTACACTTTCCCATGCCATTTAGATACGACTGCCGCCGCCTGAATATATCTCGGGTGCGATCAGTGCTCCCTCGCTGATATCCCGACGTTTGTTGCTACACCATGCCTCATTTCTTTCCACGGCCAATCCTCTCCGCCGTCTCCTTTCCCTTCCATTCTCTTCGCCTGTTTTTTTTCTCGGTAATTTAAAATAAATGTGCATTATTCGATTGGCTTCATGTTGATAGTTCTGTTCTCTCCTAGGTGAAGCGGTCTACCCTCTTCCTGTTTATACTTGTATTATAAAAAGGACTGTTAGGCCAATTTGTTTGGAATTTCTACAAATTCTTCACATAGTGTTTGTCAAGTGCGTAGATTGTTTGTTAGCAAGGAGAAAAGTGCATTTTTCGCTGAAAACTGGAAACGGATTTGGTATCTAATCTTCTTAGTCTTCTTTGGAGGTCTGGCCTAGATTTGTCTTGTTCTTTTGTGCGATAACTGTACGGAGTATCATCAAGTTCAAAAAAACTGAATGGGTCGTGTTTTCGTTTGACCGAAAGCGTTGTACTTATCTGCATGGATAGCAGTTCTACCTACATTTTCGAAGATTCGCTATCATTACCCTAGCTTCTATACGCCTTTGAAATTGGAGAGATTCAAGTGTCCTCGAGCGTTTGGAGCGTCTGTTCTACATCACTTATCAATTGTCACTTATCTGGCTGAATGAAGCTAGTCTTATAGCGCATTACCTTTGGCGGCATTTCGTTCGCGAGCCTGAGAGGTGAACACCAGTCGGTCTCCTTTGGAACACAAAACGCAGGGTCGGTAGATTGCGAAGGAATCGGCCGAGATTTTGCTGTCTTTGCTAGTTCGATTGTGGACTGGGCATTCGCAGCACTTGTGTTCCAAAGCTTGCTAATTGGCAGATATGGATGGGAGATCGACTTGAGTCACAACGGTGGAGGAAGTACTATAGTTTTGGCGCTTCCACTGCGACCTCTGATTCACTTAACACTAAATGGAAGGAATTTCGCAACAGTGGGTTCTTAAATCTTCTCCCACTGGATGACCTCTCCATTATAACATTAGGATGCTTACATGCATTGCATTCTGGTTCATGTTTCTTTTTGTTCTTTCCGATTGCAATAATTATTTGGGTTGTCATTATAAATAAAGCGGGTCCCTCTAATCTCAATCATAGTGCGTTGTGGATTGCTTTTGCAAAAAAAGAGCTTTTGACAGATTTTAAGGTAGAAAATTAAGTAGTGCTAATGATTGCTTTAGTAAAAAACCGAACTGGGTTTCTGAACAGAATTCTTCGAAATCTGTGCATACCCTCCTCCTCCTCCTCCCTCATTTATCTCCTCTTCCCTCTCGATGAGACCCACAGCACTTATATAGACATGAACGCGCATAGACAAACTGAACGCCATTTTTATTGTGTTGGACCGCGGACGGAGTGTGATTTTGATTCTCGTGAGATCTTCCATTGTAATTCGATAATTGATGGATGGATCAAATGAAAGCCTACTATTAGAATCGTAGGGGCGTCACTAGTGTGTTTAATTGGCACCAGGAGCAGATACTTTCTTCGGGGCGGAGTTGCTATATACTCTAGCGATTTCAGTAGAGCCATTTAATTGTGATTATTTTATACAATGCAGTATCGTATTCCTAAACACCGAATCCGACTGACTGAGGAAGAACAAAGGCAGAGCTTTTGGAATGGAAATCTGTCCTCAATATACAGTGGGGCTTGCAGTGACTGACATGGCCCGGGACCGGCCTACTGGACGAGGTTTTCAGCCGGCTCCTTTATTAACCAACGTAGTACATCATCATCAAAGTGAGTCAACCATGTCAGTCGGAGCCCTACGTGCGAGTGTGCTTTAATTTTTGGCCTGAAAAGGAGAACTACTACCAACGCGATATATTCTCGTTCTGTTCCACACCGTAAATAGGCAATAAAAACAAATGTAGTGTGTCAGGGGTTATTGCTTTCGAATCTTCTGTTGACTTTAGTCATTCTGAGGAGGTTTGTGGCTAGTAATGTGCATATGCCTCTTAAAACATTCGGGTGTTTACTATAAAGGGATGTAGCAGGTATAACTAAGGGCAAATCTGCCTCAGGAATCATGTAAGTATGCATGGTTTAGGTGCCTTGCTCTTACAATGGCTGTTCAAGTGCCAAAATAATCGTCCAAGATCAGCTAATGCTTCCGCGGTGAGTGTAATTAAACAAGGTTTCTTGTTGAACAAAAAAAATAAAATAATAAAATTTGATCGAAGTGCGCAGTTGGATGATAATGTAGTGCTCCTTGTTGGTAGGTTCCTGATCTACTATCGCACAGCATAGTTGGTGGGTGTGACCACTCAGGCACTGACACCCGGTAACTTTTTAGTGGTCTCCTCCAAGCGCATAGATGTAAGCGCTTGATTTTCGAAACCGGAAGGAAACTGCATTATCTGCATTGAGCCCTCGTATTTTCCCAAAGTTCACTGACATGAGCACTACCCAACTCAGAAGACGTATAGTTATGCCCGTGGATGGCAGTTCAAATAGTCACCGAGCATTCAATTGGTTCCTCAAATACGACTATCGCAAAAGTGACTTTATCATCTTCTTACACGTTTTACAATCCAAATCCTCTAGCAGCTGCAATACTGTTATGGCCTTGGATAACTTGGTTAACATACCAGTGCAAAGCGACTCGGAACCTGTCAGCAACGGCGACGCAGTGTTAGAGAAATTCCGGAAATTGGCGGAGCAGGCAGGTGTGAACTTTACGGTTGAGGCCCTGAATGACTCCTCGGTTGCAGAGGCCATACTGCGTCTAGCGTCTGATCTCGATGCCAACTTCATCGTTGTGGGTTCACGTGGTGTCAGTGGTGTACGGCGTGCAACCCTTGGTAGCGTCTCCCACTATCTTGTCACGCACTCCTCCGTGCCTGTGCTCGTAGTTCCGTCATCGAGCAGCAGTCGCTCTTTCACCAGCGCATAAGTGCATCTCTCGCCCAACAATCTCATCCTCTCATTTGAACGTTAAATTTGAATAGCAAATCCTCGTATGCACGCATAGCGACAGGATCAAAAATAGAACTGTTTTGGCCGCTTAGAGTCTTCTTTTATGCCTGCATTATTGAATTAGTCTGCCACAGAAGAGTGAACTTCGTATGAGGAGGATGTATTCATTGAGCCAATTTAACAGGCAGGTTACTACGATTCTACTTCGTTGAATTGAGAACACCAAGACCTGCCAATGGCAAGTATGGCATTGTGTATACTGCATACAGTAGAAACCGACCTTACAGCACTCGATTTCGATAGCCACTTTTTACAGTGAGTTAAGGAAAAAAGTGCCATTAAAGTGAGACCATAACTCAACTCACCTATCTATGCCCTATTTTCTGAGGAGAATCATACGCGTCACATGGTTTTTGGTGAGCTTTAACTACAGCACAGCTCCTGCTAGTGAGCTTTTGGTGTGGTAGGGGCGCGTCGGCAACTCGTGATTTTTGAAACAGCAATCTACAAAACATAACTTGGCTTTAAGTGGACTGCATCACACTGCCCCACACAACAATATGGTTTAGAGTTAAATCAAAATATCTTAGTCACAACAGCATCGAAGTTTCAAAGTCATGGAAGAAAAATTCTACGAAATTACATCGACTCAAAGGGCGAAATTACCGCATTTTAGGTGCATCGGAATTACAAAATCCACTAAGCGAAGATATAGTTGTACTGCTTTAACGGCTCGCTGGATTTCGCACCACCTAAAGTCTCCACCATTTTGCATTCAAGGCATAGCAGTAACCCCAGTCCCATCCTCACATCATAACTACATTGTTTTTCCGCTTATGGAGGTCGCCAAATCCTTCATTGGAGGGATCTGATAGAAAATCCGATCTCCAAGGCCTGTTGGGTAATAAGTCTTAGTGAGACAGAAGGTTAACAGATTCCACAGATTACAGAATCAGTGGTAACCTTGCCTGAGGCTGAAAATAGTTTCCACATTTCAGCAAATGCACCTGCCTCAGGGTTTAAGCAAAGCCATCATTAACTGAAGCAGTAACGGCCTTGAATAATCTGGAACCGCTTTGTCGCGGAGCTTCTTACTATGTCTGCACAAAGATGCCAAATAGTTGCTACCTCTTTCCTATCTATATGGAACTCAAACAAAGGTCGCTAGAGAGCATCTAAGTAAGAACAAGCTTAAAATAAAGGGTTCAGGCGAGACACTATCCCCATAAAATTGCATTGGACTCAACCCCCATTAGTTCACTCATAGATGGGGGAAGTGTTCCAGCGGCTAGCAACTGAAGTGCGTAAAGGAGGAACAAACTCTGCATCCAGGAGCATCAATGAAGTTGCATTAAAACTGCTATTAAGCTGTTCGCACACGCATTAGTGTCATTCAAGCAGCAGACATTGGGTAGCACTGACCAAAGGGCGGGCTACGTAGTGCAACAATTATTTGTTAAAACTCGATTGTAGTAACAAGCTCTGCTTTGGCTCTATGCTGGCGAATTCAAAGTGGTGCACGAGTGCCGTGGGTCACCCTCAGCGCGATAGTTTGCAAATAAATTTTGGGTAGTCATCTTTCGTAATTTGAAGCAAGAAGTCAACGTTACCAATAGAACTTTGTCCCTTTTATTTAGCGAAACTGTATAGAACAGCGCTTGATAAAGCAAACGTTTACCAATCCCAATGCATGAATTTTGAGTGTTTCAAAGTAATATCTTGTTGTCTAAATAGGCCTTTCAAATGGATCGGATGCCAGCCACTGCAATGCTTTGTTTATGTAACTACCTGCCGTTTGGCGGTCACTTTAGGATATGCCTGGTCCTTGTACACGTGGGCTGGCCTTCGGACCACGCCCAGGCCCCATTTCTCCTATTGTCTTCGGAATACATGTATTAAACCTCACTTACGCCTTTGAGCCTATTTCTGTAATACTCTGTTTATGCTACTACCTGATGTTCAGCAGCTACTTTAAGGTTTGGCCATTTAGCTCCTATTGATGACTTCTTCTTCCCTGTACGAAGTCTCGGGACGCTACACTGGTGGCAGTGGAAAGCGAACCCAACAT